CGCTGAACCTGGTGGGAGAGAAAATGGGAAGTTGCTTTGAATGCATGGACACAGGAGACTACTTCCAGTAGCACAAATACCAAGAGCAATATTCAATAAATTGGACTTCCCGAAACTGAGAAGCTTCTGTAAGGCAAAGGACATCATCAATAAGACAAAACAGCAGCTTACAGAATAGGAAAAGGGATGTTATTTTTTTAAAGATTTGTTTATTATGTATACAGTGTTTTGCCTGAATGCCAAAAGAGGGCACCAGACCTCATTAGAGATGGTTGTGAGTCACCATGTGGTTGGTTACTGGGAATTGAACTCAAGACCTCTGGAAGAGCAGCCGGTGCTCTTAACCTCTGAGCCACCTCTCCAGGGAGGGATATATTTGTATGTGTACAGAAAAATAGTCTTGGAGTGGGTGCTAATTGGAACCAGGCAATTAGCACTTGATTAATCCACTACTTAGTGTCTTTGTCATGTTGAGTAAGTTACTTAATATCCTGAACCTCAGAGTTCCCATTCACAAAAATGCAAATAACATACGACACACCTAGGAAACGGACTTAGGAGTTCAAGTCTGGAAATTCCACAAGAGCGCCCGCTGCATACATAGTAAGGGCAATGTAAACATTCAGTACTCACAATGTTCACTTCACTTGTGTGCTACAAAAGTCACACGTTGTAGTTGCAATATGTATGCAAGTATTCTGTGAAATACAAACAATGGGGGAATGGATGAGATTTAGGAAGGAAGGCTGTTTAGTTCCAGGAAACACTCTCTGCCCTCACACAATCTCCTTTTGCTTGTTTAAGGCTTCCTGTATCTCCTGTCAATTATACCTGCTACCAACAGCACTGCTTTCCATGGCTCAAAAACGTGGAAGCTGCTGTCTGTTCATGGGTGTCTGCAAATTGACCCTGTGCATCCTCTTGGCCTTATGCTAAGCAGCATCACCTCAGCCATGGTATCCACCTGGTAGTTACCAGCTAAACAGAAAGTCTCATGAAACATCGATCTTTACCTCTATGCAACTCTTACAATCATCTCCAGCTGCTCCCCTTTCTGGCAGACCACGCTTCCTAGAAATCTGGAAGCATCAATAAAGACTACTTTTAGAGGTGTGTGTGTGTGTGTGTGTGTGTGTGTGTGTGTGTGAATGTGCATGTGTGTAAAACAAGTGTCACACATATACACAACCACTAGAACAAGAAAGAATTTTGAAATTTGCGTGAGCAAGAAATTCTCCTATACTAGTTATTTAAAAGTTAAGATTATTGGTTTGATAGTTGTATAAAGGAATGTAAGTATCTTAACTTACATTTCCTTAATTCCTGTATTAATTGAGGGAATCGGAGTTGATGTTCCACACATAAAAATTTATGTTCATGTTGCATTACATCGACTGCTTCCTTTTAAAACCAACATATTGTTATCAATGTTGGATATAATACATTGTTATGCCAGGCAGGCCAAGGTGTCCACAAAATGACATGAGCTTTTAAAAATATTTCATTTGCTGGGCATTGATGGCACACGCCTTTAATCCCAGTACTCAGAAGGCAGAGACAGGCAGATCTTTATGAGTTTGAGGCCAGCTTGGTCTACAGAGTGAGTTCGAGGACAGGCTCCAAAACAATACAGAGAAACCCTGTCTTGAAAAACAAAAAAAAATCATTCATCTATTTATTTTCGTGTGTATGTACATATGTCAACATATACACACTACAGAATACATGTGGAGGTCACAGGACAACTTGCAGAGGTAGATTCTGGGAAACACACTCAGGTCATCAGGCCAAGCTGCAGGTACCTTTACACCCTGTGTTGTCTCTGGGAGTTTTCCCTCAGTATTAAAGTGAATAAGAAGGAGAAGCAGAAGAGACTCAGGTAAACGCACAACTCCAGAGAACCATAAAACTCGATACAATTGCTATCCATGTCTAGGCAGAAGCTGTTCTGAGAAACTGCTTAGAGGAACCAGCCCTCTCCATGTGGCTTTGACTCTTCCTTGGAGGCACGGGTCTGCTCACTATCATTAGCACACTCTGACTTCGTTTCCCCTGCAGTTCTCTTTTCCACAATAAAGGACACACTCATCAAACCAAATCGGGTATCCATGCACACTCACATATCACATGCCAGTTAAAATCCTGGCAATACCATTTATTTCCAGTGTGAGGCAGTACACCCATGTCTGTGTCTCCAGACTTCAAAACAGAGCCTTATCTTGGACAACAGTCATTTCACTACATTCACGTAATTTTGCGAAGAGTTTCCACGGGAAACTGGTAGGCTGCTGGACATCGCTAAATAAATCCCTGCAGGATGATGTTCCCTCAAAAATACAGGCTAGAATCGTTAGGACATATGAAAATTTCAAGGGTTAATGGGGAAAAGGTTAGCCACTTCCTACCAGAGTAAGAAATGTACATGAGCGGTGACCTGAATACCTGAGACTCATTTCCTACTCTTCTTTCTTATAAAGAGGCAGCTCAGATACGGGGAGGGGAGAGATGACACAGCTATATGATGGCGACATTGACAGATCAGATGAAGGTCTCCCTGCATAGGAATTCACCACAGACACTGCTGAATTACCGCACCCTGGCGACCCTTTCCAATGCCTTTGAACCTCCAACATGAAAACCGTTTTTTTTTTATTCCCATTTTACGCATGCCTTCCTCATTTGAATTTTTCTTTCAGAATGAAGGTATGCACTTTCACTAAACTGCCTGTTCTGCGTGTTTCAACTCATTTCCGCGGCATCTATTTGCAGAACACCTACCAAGTCGTGGGAGCCTTGACAGACAGCTAAACTGCAATGACATTACTTCCTCTCTTGGTGTCAAGCGGGCCCTACATCAAATCATCCCATCCCAGCAGGGTGACGTGAGGCTCCCAGACAGACCCCCCGCCCCCAGCTCCCACCCCCGTGCTGGCTCTGTGAACTGGGTCAGACTCACACTGTCCAGTGATCTGGCATCCAAATCCATGTCTTCATCCTCCTGCTTCCCCACTCCCCCTTTCGTCCCATTTCCGCCTGCTCCTCCTCTGCTTCCTCTCCAGTCTCCTCCTCTTCCTGGACCACCCTCCTCCTTGGATGTGCTGTCTGCTTTCCATTTATTCATTTATTTATTCTTGTGTTCCTGTGAACACGTGTTCGTGGACGTATGTACACATACATGTGGGGACCGGAAGTTGACACTGGCTGCTCTCCTCCTTAGTTTCTGAGCCCATCAATTCAGGTAGACCGGATGCTCACCTTTCCTCCCCCACCCCCTTCCCCACTGGTTTCCATGTCTCCATCTCTTAGGCTCCTGAATTCCCGGAGCGCACGCCCAAGCCCAGTATTCCACACGTGGGCGCTGAGGATTTGAACTGAGGTCCCCGTGTTCGAGTAGCAAGTACTTTACTATCCCTCCTAGGGTGCTTTTGGTCTTTGAAGATGCCAGGGGACAATTCCTTTTAAAAAAATGGGCTAGCATTTTCACAGATCTGAAATGAGTCACGGGATTTAGACAAGTTAAATTTAAAAATTAAATGATAGTTTTATTTTAATACAAATACAAAAGCAAACGACGTTCTGTAGCGATGGTGATTTAGTACCCAAGCATTTCATTAGTTTTATATATTTTATATGCTTTAAATCTTTTAATTCCCTTCATTTATTTTATTTTTCCAAACGAGGCCCTCAGCACCCAGGCCTAAGCATCTGAGGACACATTTTATGGAAGCCATTAAGAATTAGGTCCTTCAGAAATACTACTCTAAATTTAAACAAATAATTATACCCTTCGCCCTAAATACAACACTTACTTATCCAAAAATGAGTCCATGCAGCTACAAGAAGTCAGCAAGCAAACCCTGACTCTGACGCCATTTCTCTGTGCAGAAGAGATGAAATGAGCTCTTAAAGAAACAGAGGGTTACCAGGCTTCTCTATTAAAGGCCGTTGGCTCACGTAAGCATCATTCAGCCCTCTCTTTACATTTAAGAAACAATCCTGAAGTCCAGTGGATGGCTGCAGACTCATCATTGGATGTCACCGCTCCTCACTGGCACAGAGAGCTATTACTTCACTTCTCTTTATAGTCACAGGCAGGGTTAAATAGAGCTATTGCGAACTGTGCACCCACAATGGAATTTTGAGTTATAGTCAGTTTAATTTAGGTGATGTTTCTTTTGGGGGGTTAAAGAAAAGAGACACTGTTGAACAAATATCACTCTATGTGCATAGGTATACTTTTGGCGTATTAGACCTAAACTGGGGAGTGGAAACATGGAGGAAAACACATTGGACAAATACAGTCCTTGCAACCTCTCATTTCCCCTTGTGCGTGTGGAAAGGAAGGTATTAGACACCTCTGGTGTTCATTGTGAGGCTCGGACCCTTTCTAGAGTCCCCAGATGCCACAGCACTGGAAGCATTAAACGTGGGTGGCATGAATCTTAAAGGCCCACGTACCTAGATGAAGAGCTATAGGCAATCGATGGCTACTGAGACAGAGAAAGAATCAGTGTTCCCTTAACAGGCTTTCCAATTCCATGCAGTCAGCACTACACATACACAGATGAGCAACACTAAATATCTCAGCTGGTGGTACCCATGTATATATGTAACAATAATAACAGATGAGCAACACTAAATAACTCAGCCGGTGGTACCTATGTATACATGTAACAATAATAACATATAAGCAATACTAAATAATTCAGCCGGTGGTACCCATGTATATATGTCACAACAATAATAACTAAAGAACAAGTAGCCAGGAATTTGAGAAGGGAGGAACGGGGGTTGGGGGGTTTGAGAGAAGTGGGAAATCACGCAAGTAAAGTGGCTATATACAAAATCATCAAAGAAAAACTCTTCTCACTCTAATATAGGACAGTCTGAAAATCCAGTGTTTAAAGTTTTCTTCCTACGTTCTGACAGCAGAACTCCCTCAAAACCCTGCGTACCCTATGCATCTATGTGAACTTGAGATAGGAAACCCACGCACTCACCATGATAGATTGGATACAGACATTGCCGCAATCTGGGATGGAGTCTTCTCCCGGTGTCAGAATAAGGAATCAGTACAGTCGCTTGATGGGACCACTGCAGATTTCTGCTCTGCCGTTGGAACAGGCACAAACCACTTATTTACTCAGGGCTTGAGAGGGCCTGTGAAGAAAATGAAACTGGTGATGTCTCTAGGACAGAATCTTAAGAACTTTTCAATATGCTTCTTTCAACCAGGCCAAAAAAAAAAAAAAAAAAAAAAAGAAGAAGAAAACCACTATCAAAGACAGATATCTCTGCATACAATATTTTAGCTATCTATGGCGTATACGTCCTATGATCTTGAACTACAATTGTCTTTGAACAAAATTAACTCCACAATACTGTTATCATTTTTAATAGCTTAGGCTACTTTCTAGTCTTTTTATTTTTTGATGCAGAGTTTCTCTGTGTAGTCCTATGTGTCCTGGAACTCACTCTGTAGTCCAGGCTGGCCTCGAACTTACAGAGATCCACCAGCCTCTGCCTCGCAAGTGCTGGGACTCACGGCCCTGCTATTTTCTACTATTCTAATAATAAATACTTATTACACATACACTATGTGTGTTAACATGAATGTGGGTTAGGAATAAAGATGAATGACACTTGAATAATACACTGATCCTACTTTCAAGTAATATTTTATACAAGAGGAGCAGTATAGTAAAATAGAGTAGATTTTCTACAAAAGCCACTACAGGGTATATATAGGCATGGGAAGAGAGTCTTCGGGCTTGGTAGAGGGATGTGACTAGAATTTCTGAAGAAGATACCTGTAAGTTACTACCAAAAGCTTACTTAAACCTTAAAAAAATCCAATGTCCATGTGTCTTAGAAGGTCAGTTTATCGTCTCTTAAATAAGTAAGTTCGAAGCAAAGAAGTTCACAGAGAATGGAGTAATTCCACTGGGTAAAGAATCTTTCTTTCGTGTCTCAACATATGTGCTCCCATCCTGACCTTAATCTGGTTTGCCAAGCGCCAGTAAGAGCCCACGCTCCAGCCAGCAGAGAGGGAAAAATGTAAAAAGAATGTGTGCTCTAAAATTTACATACAATGCTGTTACTTGAATTTTATTGATTAGAGTCTGGTTATCTGGACACTGTTTTCCAAAGGAAGATTAAAAATGCATCCATTTCTTAGCCAGGTGTTGGTGGTACATGCCTTTAATCCCAGCACTCTTGAGGCAGAGGCAGGCAGATCTCTGTGAGTTCGAGACCAGCTTGGTCTACAGAGTGAGCTCCAGGACAGCCTCCAAAACAGTACAGAGAAACCATGTCTCTAAAAACCAGAAAAAAATGCAGCCATTTCTCTGGATATTTTTATATTAAAAGACATATTAATATGTCTACCACTGGGGAATATTGGGGAAGAAATCTTGCAGAGGCTACCCCTACACTCAACATGCAATAACCTTGACCCTGAAGTATTTTATAAATTTGGTGCCTTTCACAGAAGGGTGGACATCCAATGTAAGGGAGGTGGGAATCAGCCTATGGGTGGCTAATCATTTTACATGTATGGTTTGTTTATGATCATAAGCATTGTAATAATTGTTATTTATACTAACGAACATCACACTTGGTCTTGCCTAGATCAGTCAATGGTCAACAAATATGTACTGTGCCCCAAGTACTCACCAGAATAAAAACAGGTACTAAGGACAGTGCGATGGATAACCTTGAGTGATGGATAACCTTGAATGCCAGTTGACTGGACCAAGAAACACGTACCAAGTTACTAAAGCACACAGATCAATGTGATCCATGAGAGTGTATCTGTAGATGTTAGGTGGTGTGGGCTCGGTCCTAATCCATCAATGGATTAACAGTTTGAACAACTTTGGGTTTCTCTGTAAAGGCTGTACCTTACCCTAGTTCCCTCCCACTAGTAACTGATTCACCGTCCTTGCTTCCTGTCTGCCATGAGATGAGGAGCCTCAGCTATATCCTCTGGTTACCATGGTATCCTGCCTCACCTGGAGTCCAGATGTAATGGAGCCAAGGAATATGTACTAAAATTCAGAAGCAATGCACAATCAAATACACAGTCAAATTTCCTTCTATATTTAAGCTTCATTTGGTCACAGCAATTTAAAACTAATAAAGAAAAATACAAGATTAATAAAGTATAGTTCACATAAAGAACTCACTACCACAGAAGCATCCTACAAAACAGACAAAATTATACACGCAATAAGAATCAGTGATTTTGTACTAGTGTCATTTGATCACTATGGCAGAACAGAGAACTAAACTTAGTTCTGATGATTCCGAATTTGACCAGAAACTGACTGACAGAAAAAATTTGATCCTCTCAGAGAATAAGCAGACATGAAGGTCCACATGCTAAATTGTCTGAGTACATTCTAAAGAAACTGTCAAGTACATCCCCTCTTTAGCCAACTGCTAAGTCACACATACGTTCATTGCTAGGAGTCCAGAAACTCCACATGGTGTCACCTCAAGAGTCCTCAACCTTTCCATGTACTGCTTGACACTTACCAAGCACTCAGTCACCATGAACAATATGTGTGGAGTATTTTCCAATGCAATACATTCTTCTGGAAATGTTTAATTCTTTCCTTAGAGAGATGTGTATCTGGGTATCACTATTTAAATGCACAAATCAAATTTCCTTTATTGAATTACACTTTGAATGTTTACCGAGAGTTTCCATCGAAAGATGTAATTAGAGAAGATAATAAGCCAAGACAAGAACTATGAAATGAGCTATGGGGTTTGTTGGAGTATTCACCAACACAAAAATACTGTCTTTATGGGCACTCACAGGAAAAAGATCTGTCGGATTTCCACACCAGGAGAAATACTGTTCTCAACTTAAAGGTGAATTTGTAACTTTCAGCCAAAGTGGACTATAACTAAGAACATCTACCTGTCATTTCATTGTAGTGAAATGCAGCTTTTTTTCATGTTAGATGAAAGCTTTCAAAGCATATGAAGGGAAACGACATCTCCAAGTGCCCAGGCAGGTTGCAAGTCATAAGTGTAGCTACAATCGCTCCTGTATGGTCACTCTTATAGAACAGAGCTAAAGAAAATAACCTGTGAACATAATGAAATACCCTCTAATTAATATAGTCATTAAACACATGGATAGCTCTTGAAGATAATAATGTATTACTGGGATGGTGCTTTAGTAAATTATTTAAGCATCTATTATGCACAAATATGATTCTATGTTTCTATTGCAGCTGAACAAGTTGCAATGACTTTGCGATTCAGTAACACAATATACAAAGCAACTTTCGAGACATAAAGCTGCAAAATATTACTTGGAAAAACAATCACAGTGTTTAAAAGCTTGGGCCTTAGAAACACATGTACTAAATATATACACAAAAATTGCATTAAAAAATTCACCAACTGTATACCATGAATTATATCCCTGAAAAGGAATACCAAGTACAGTATCCTAACTACTAACCAATGACCCATTTTGCTCTAAGTAATATGCTATACTGGTGGTGAGGTAAACTAGTCATTCAACTTCTACTCTAAATACTGCAAGAGACAATGGCCATGGATGGGTAAAATATACTAGTATGGGAAGAATTTTTTTATACTCAAAATTCAAAACAGATGCCAGCAAAGCAAATTACCATGAGAATATTAAACTCTTGATTTGCATGCAATTTGGATATCTTTAAATATCGCATGACATTGGTGGTCTCCTTCCTTTTTGGTTTACTTACAAGCTAACTCCATGAGTCCATATTTAAATTCTAGACTCTCTGTTCTCATGGTACTTGTTTGCTTCCGACCCTCATTACAAATACTATCATGTACCACAAGTGGTGATTACTCTCAATCACCCAAGGGATTAAATTCCCTCTACTCTCTCACTTCTCCACAAGCACAACTTCCACAGATCCTGTGAAACCTTTCCTCAATGCTCCATGCCTTTCTGAATTAAGTGCTGTCAAATTAAGTAATTAAAATGTGTGCTGTTTGTCAGTTCCCAAAGTTGCTGTCAGTTTAGAAAAAAAGAAAGCCTTGTGTCTTTTGTATCTAAATTCTTGAGTATCGAGAGCTCTCCAGGTATTAATAAGCCCAGGGACAGTCTTGAGAGTGTATCATGTCGGGACACAGAGAGACACGACCTAATTTATTGGACAATAAGTTCACAAACTGTATCAGTTTTACCAACTGTAATTTAACCAAGCAATCTTAATCTCACTTGCCAGTTGGCCACTGGCAATCACAGGTTTATTTTTTATTCCACTCTTAGACACAGACACTAACTAACTTATAGATCACACACATTTCATTTCACAAGACGTGTCCCTTACATAACAGCCACAGAAGAGTTAAGGAGTTCAAAGAAGTCTCACCGAAGGCAGGACAGAGAGCTGACATAGAGGGTCACTGTAGGCGTTGAATAGGAGTCTCACACACACAGCGTGGAACCTGTTGGAGTCACACAGAACTTAGCAACTTCAAGGTAGCGCCGGTTCAGGGCAGAGCAGGCTCAGGGCAAGGAGAAGACTAATGTAGGACCAGGTAGACACTTTGCAGTTCAAGGGGGTCCTGTCAAGCAGCAAAGACGATGCTGAGCTAAGGCAAAGGGGGCAGTCTAGAGTTCATGTCCTCTCCATTCCGTGACGCACACACCGCATGCTGGATGACAGACAGGTCAGTGGTTACTGCTGTGTCCTTACTTTAGATGTCCCTCCTTTTATTATCCAAGTGAGGCGGTTAGAGCCTGGAGTGGTCTGTGGGTTTGATAAGGTCACCAGTATGGTTTTGAGACTCCCGTATGCCTATAGCATCCCAATTTTCTGTAAGTTAATAGGCTGTCTTTTCTTATGGGCAGGACAAAGTTTACTTATCAGCTATGTCATACTAGACAGATGGCGATTTCTTGCTTGCACAAACAAGAAGCAGAGTCATTCTGCTTCACAGTGGTAATCACCATAGATAGAACTTCTGCTTTGCAAAAAACAATTGCTTGGAGCAAGAACAGCCTGAAATCTACCTTTTCACCAGATAAAGAGTACTTAGGGGAAGGTGAGAGCCCAAAGCAGGGCACAGTAGGATCTCACAAAGTCAAAACAGTTCTACTGGCCCACAGACTCATAGAGAACCAGCCACGGACTCACAGATCACCAGCCACGGACTCACAGGGCACCAGCCACGGACTCACAGGGCACCAGCCATGGACTCACAGATCACCATCCACGGACTCACAGATCACCATCCACGGACTCACAGATCACCATCCACGGACTCACAGATCACCATCCACGGACTCACAGGGCACCATCCACGGACTCACAGATCACCAGCCACGGACTCACAGATCACCAGCCACGGACTCACAGAGCACCAGCCACGGACTCACAGATCACCATCCACGGACTCACAGATCACCATCCACGGACTCACAGATCACCATCCACGGACTCACAGATCACCATCCACGGACTCACAGGGCACCAGCCATGGACTCACAGATCACCAGCCACGGACTCACAGATCACCAGCCACGGACTCACAGGGCACCAGCCATGGACTCACAGATCACCATCCACGGACTCACAGATCACCATCCACGGACTCACAGATCACCATCCACGGACTCATAGATCACCATCCACGGACTCATAGATCACCATCCACGGACTCACAGATCACCATCCACAGACTCACAGATCACCATCCACGGACTCACAGGGCACCAGCCATGGACTCACAGATCACCATCCATGGACTCACAGGGCACCAGCCACGGACTCACAGATCACCAGCCACGGACTCACAGGGCACCATCCACGGACTCACAGATCACCAGCCACGGACTCATAGAGAACCAGCCACGGACTCACAGGGCACCATCCACGGACTCACAGATCACCAGCCACGGACTCATAGAGAACCAGCCACGGACTCACAGATCACCAGCCACGGACTCACAGAGCACCAGTCATGAGCCCAGGGAGCACCAACCATGAACCCACGGAGCACCAGCCATGAACCCACAGAGCACCAGCCAGACCCACAGAGCACCAGCCACGGACTCACAAAGTATCAGCCACGGACTCACAGAGCACCACCAGCCATGGACTCACTCATAGACACCTGCCAAGCCACACAGACTCTGTTGCAAAACAGATCTCACAGACTATCCCTCACCCTAACATGATTCTGGCCAGTCTCAGCTGCAGGGTCACAAATCCTAGAACCCAGAGGGAAAAACGTCAGTCGGCAACCCCGCAAGTCAACTTGATCACTTCACCTAAAATCCAGTTTCAGCTCCTTTCAACAACAGACCCCAAGCGTGCCTTTCTGTTCAGCGACTTGCTGGGAGACTTTCCCTTCTACAACTAAATACACAGGCCTGAAAACCCAAGTCTCAGATGGAGACCCCGACGTACCTGTCACGGAGCATCTAGCTGAAGAACGGGGTGGCCCAGCCTACCTGGACGCTCCCAGGGTGACTCAGCCACAAACCTGAAGTCTAGCGCCAAGTCAGTAAAAGCTAGAGAGCTAAGAATGGATTTCTGTCACCACAAGAGTAAATTTCCAGTATCATTGCCACTGCCATTATATTTTTTGGAAGTCTTATTATGAGTCAGGCAATATCACATTCTTTCATGAGTTTAAAAAAATTCTTTCCACAGCTTTATAAGTACTGATAAAAGAAACAATTTTTTTTCAGGATGCTCACTAAAAGAATTGCCTCTTTTCTTTTCAACTATGAGATTTTATTATTTATTTATTTGCTTATTTATTGTTCCTGGGCCATATTTAAAGGGTCGAGACGTCCAAGAATTTTTTTCCTTTTTAAATGTACACTCATTTATTTACTTATTTGTTTGTTTGTTTGTTTGTTTGTTCTTTTAAGAGTGGGCCTCATGTAGCCCAGGTTACCCTGAAACTCACTACATAGTTGATGATAACCTTGAAATTCAAAAAAAGGTGAGCTGGCTGCTCCCCTCACCCCCCCTCTGAGTCCTGCATTTACAGGCAAGCATTCACAATGCCTGGTTTGATGTGGTTATTGCAGATAAAACCCAGGGTTGCATGCACGCTGGGCAAGCACTGTGCAATCTCAGTTACATCTCTAGCAGAAACTATTTATATTTTAAAGCTATTCTACCCTTATTTAGATTTGCTCACCAGCTATAAACCATGGAATCTGTTAACTCTAGAGAACCAGTCACTTTTTCAAAACAGTTTAGCCTCTTGATTCTATTGAGAATATTGGCTAGTGGCATGATATGCAAATTAGTATCATCCTGTTTGCAAAGTGGGGTCAACAAAAGATGACATTCTGGCAATTTCTAGGATCTTCAAATTTCTAGCAGGTTTGCAGGCATGCATCCCTCTGTAACACCTGCGTGACTAAGGTCAGCATGGATATAACCTCTAGAAATGCTCAAGCACCCTTCCAAGATGTTTTTGTGCCCACTGATATCTACCCTGAAAATACGATCTTGGCACAGGTTGGAAACTCCCCACATTGAAACTTCAGATCAGCACAGATGGTAACCTTGGAGACAAGCTAATGCAAAGCTTCATGTGTCGTTTCTCCACAATGCAGCTGTCACTTTGGTTGTATTGGAGTAATTTTATGGACAGTATTAGTATTCAATTGGGCATGTCAGTAATTGCTCTAAAGCATTTATTGAAGAGACCTGGTTGTATGCACGTGAATCCAAAGCTCTTCAGAAATGGCTCCTACCTCCAAATTCCAGGGAGTCTTTGTGATCTTCAGAGAAATGATCTACAATGACCTTGAAGCCATTTTAAAACACACTGTCACTGGAAACAGAGGTCACTCTAAAACTCAAGTTTGGCCTTCTTTTCCCATCCATTTAGATAAGTGATTACATAATATACTGTTACAATTTTATGAGACAAATTCATCCTACTTTTTGCATGACCCACAAAGAAATTTCTGGCTACCCATGGAACCCGTCTTTTCTGACCATGTTTCTCTCCTGTCTCCATCTTTCAGGCCCTCATCTTACTGGTTCTTTCCCTTCTGTGGCCTCCGATTCTGCAGTCTCTGCTCGTCT